GATGTTTTTAATTTAATGTGAAAGTCCTCCCAGGATAATTTCAGGGATAAAATATGTTATATCAGCATAGGATCTTGTCAATTGCTCCCATTTCAAAAATATTTGGACTATTGGTTTACTTTCAGGAGTTTCCAGACTTTTCCCTTCATTGTCTGAGAAAGAGGCTATTACTAGATGCAATTCAACTTGAGCACAGTGCACTTGCCCAGGAGGTCAGCTCTGGAAAACGCACTCCAATGTTTCTGGACATCGTATTACTTCTCATAAAACATTTATTTGGTTTCCTCACATCATTTATGAATGAGCTAACAGTATTTAACTGTAACATATTTTATAGCAGATCTTATGAGTACCAACTGCTCAACTCATAATGATTTCTTTTTTTGCTGTTGTTGTTCAGATAGAGTGGGAGGGAGAGAGTGGAAGAGAGAGAAACATCGACATGAAAGGGGCACATTGAGTGGCTGCCACCCACACGATCAAACAGGGCCGGGGACAAACTGCAACTGAGGTATGTGCCCTTAGCAGGAATCAAACCTGGGTCTCTCTGGACCACAGGCCGACGCTCCAACCGCTGAGCCAAACCAGCCAGGGCCATAATGATTTCTTAGTAACTTACCTCACTCCCATTGGTAAACTCCAAATAGACATTTATTATAGTTTCAATTCCATGTTCTGGTCACAGTAGAAGAACACGGACTCATGTAACACCAACTAGATTGAACTTTGGAATTGAGACTGATGCAGAGATGGGAGTTGGAAAATAATTCTGACTATACACCTATATCTATCTATCTATCATCTATCTATCTATCTATCTATCTATCTATCTATCTATCTATCTATCTATCATCTATCTATCTATCTATCTATCTATCATCTATCATCTATCTTTATCTGTCCATGAGAGAGAGAGAGAGACCTTGCAAGCAAGTGATAAAGAATAAAAGAAAGTAAATGAAGTTCCTTGTTCAGATACTTTTTTTTTTATTTTTTATTTTATTTTTCTATCACCATCTATCCCTTCTAATCCCTCTTCTCCCACAGTCACCACACTACTGTCTATGAGTTTTCTCACTCTCTCTTTTTTTCTCTCTCAATTCTTCCATCCTCCCTCCCCTGAGCTGTCTGCCTGCTCTTTATCTATGAGCGTGTCTCTATTTTGCTTGGTAGTTCAGATTGTTCATTATATTCCACATATGAGTAAAATCATATGGTACTTGTCTTTCTCTGAAGAATAGTTCAATATATAGAAACAAAACAGAATGGTGGCTTTCAGGAACCGGAGGGAGCAGCAAATGGGCAGTCATTATGTAATGGCACAGAGTGTCAGTTGTGCAAGATAAAAGAGTTCTGGAGGTGGAGGCTGGTGATAGTTGCGCGACTGTGTGAATCTACTGAATGCCACTGAACTGCATACTTAAAAATGGTTGCAGTGGTGTACTGGTTTGCTAGGACTGCCCTGAAAAATATCACAGACTGGGTGGCTTGAACAAGACATTTATTTTCTCACAGTTCTGGAAACTAGAGTCTAAAATCCAGGTGGTAGCATGTTTGTTTTCTTCTGAGACCTCTCTCCTTGGTTAGCAGATGGCTACCTTCTCTCTGTTATCTGTACATCATTTTCCCTCCAAGTGTATTTGTGTCCTCATTTCCTCTTATCATAAGAACACCAGTCAGATTAAATTAGGGCCCATCCTATGACCCCGATTGGCTTAATTATTTCTTTAAAGGCTCTTTCTTTAAATATAGTCACATTCTGAAATACTGGAGGATTGGAGCTTCAACATATGAATTTGGGGGAAATATATTTCAGCCTGTAATAAATAGCAAATATTATGTTATGTCATTTCACCACAACTAAAAATTTTAAAAATAAGACCAGCATACATGTGTGTTAATAGGAATGATCCAACAGAGGGTTGGTACCCAAGGATGCAGCAGAGAAGGGGGTGCAGATGTTCAGATATGTTTGAAAATTCCTTTCAATAAAGTTAAACAGCTTCTTTGCCAAAGGACTACTTATAACCTTTAATGTGCTACTGTGCACTATAAATCTTCTGGAAGGGGGTTTGGAAGAGTATCCCCAAGATCTTACCAGGAATCTTTGAGTCCCAGTAATACCCATAAAATCTCTCAGAGAAGGGTGCAAGAAGCACATCTTTAGACATTTCCTGAGTGACCGTGGGAACTGAGGAACCTGAAGGGCATGTTAAACACAGATATCTGGGTCCCCAGCTGAAATTCCTCATGCAGTAGGTCTGTGGTGGTACAAAATGTGCATTTCTAACAAGTTCCCAGGTGATGCTGCTGCTGCTAGTTTGCAGAACACATTGAGAAGTACTGTTCTAAAGCAACCTTTCCTATGCAGAGAGGAATTAGAAACCATCCACCTAGAGTTTCCCTGACAGTTCAGTTATCTGCTTGAGACCAGGGCTGGGGACAGTGGGTGGCCTTTTACCACACCAATACTACTAACTGGCTTCAGGCCAAGACAGAGGCCTCTTCACTGGGGAAGCAGCTCCCCACCGCTCTTACAGAGACAGGTGCTGACCTTCTATCAGAATAATGTTGAAAAAGCACCCATTTGCTCAAAAAGTTAATGTTTGTATTCACCGACTCAATGACTAAAAAGTAGATATTCACTTGCGAATCCATAGAATGATCTATGCTAAATTTTGTTTGTTTCTTGATCCATTGATCTATATTTGGCATTATGAAAGCCAGGAGGAACATTGTGGGATCTAGGGGGTTTCTCAGTTTATCCATTCATACTCTGCCAAAATCACCACAAAATACAACTGTACCTCTCCACTGAACTTCAATGTATCCATTCCCGTGTGGAGGGATGAGCCTGGAGCCATTTCCCTGATTCCTTCCACTCTCCTAGTTCTACTCATTTTGTATGTTACCTTGGGTGTCTCCTCTATTGGGAAGCCTTGCTTGAGCTACCCGACAGTGCGCTGTGCCCTATACACAGTATATCAAATCTCATTAGATGCTCTCAGAGCACCATGTTTCTTTTCTTTATCACAGTTGTAATTTGTACTTTACTGATTAGTGTCTGTCTCCCCAACTAGACTGTGAGCTCCATGAAAGTTATGAGGTTTTGCTCTTCACTCAATCCCCAGCATCTACTTCAGTTAGCTGCTCAATTATTATTTACAGGATGGATAGATGGATAGATGAATGGGTGGAAGGACTAGTTTTACTCCAATAGCAAACCTTAGAAGTCAGGAATCAAAATAAATTGTCAAGAAAGATGAAAAGTGCCCAGATTGACTTTGAGGGCTATACTAGGAGAAAGAAATGAGCAGTTCTCTCTGCACTACAGCAAGTGGTCTCTGCTCTCCTGAAAAGGCTCTTTATTTACTGAATTTTAATTGTTTTGTCTCCATAGTAGAATATAAGGTCTTCAGGGGTAGAGACCAAGTTTTCCTGGGTTATCTCAATATTTTATGTACCTACATATAACAGACACGTATTACATGTTTGGGGTTGGGCACTGTTTAGGAAAACATAAGATATCTGATGTCTTAAGCTCAATGGACTCTGATATTCCTAGATAGAAGGTGTTTTTGCCTTACTCATTAGAGTTTCCTGGCCTCCCCATATTTCACCAAAGCTGCTAATCCAATCATTTTACCCATCAGAAAAGTAGAGCCAAAGAGGCTAAATGACCTGTCCAAAGTCCCATGCTAAATTCATGGCTGAGTAAGTATTAGAACTCCAGATCTATTTCTCTTTCTATCTATTGATTTATTACTCAATAACACTCTCCAGGGAAGCTGACCGTGAAAGCGCCAAACTGACCAAACTCTATCAGAATTTTAGTTAACAGAGCCTGGTACTAGAATTCTAAATTCTGAATTTAGTTTTCTTACAAAATGCAAACAAACAAAACAAAATAAAACTAAAACAGCAAATGAGCAATATTCACCAAGAAACATTGGCAAGAAAAAGGAATAATTTAAATAGACATTTTTTATAAGGGAAGCTTAAAATACACCAAAAGAGTTGGCCAGTATGGTTCAGTGGTTGAGTGTCGACCCTGAACCAAGAGGTCACCAGTTCAATTCCTAGTTAGGGCACATGCCCAGGTTGTGGGCCCGATCCCCAGTGGGGGCATTTAGGAGGTAGCCAATCTATGTTCTCTCTCATCAATGTTTCTATCTCTCCCTCTTCCTTCCTCTCTCTCTAAAAATCAATAAAGAACAAAATAACAAAACATACACCAAAAGACAAAATATACCATATAACACTGTGTTGAAAATATGTTTTTTATTATAAACAATATAAACATGTCCTAATACATTTTGCAGATATAACACTTTCTTTTCTTTGCCTGAGTTTTTATAGACAAGCTCTCTCAGCACAATGATTCTTCCCTCAATGGCCATTTATATATTCAATAAATGCCAAGTGTCAGGCAGTATTAAAAGTACTGAGATATCTCGTTTTAAAAGGGAGAGAAAAAGACATTGGTGCATATTTTCAAGAGGACCACCATCTTTTTAAACCATTTTCTTTATTTTGGATGTCTGTTTTAACATATTTTCTTTTAATATATATTTTGTATATATCTGTAAATAAAATAGCCTATACACCCAAGGTAAACTGGACAATTAAAACAATTATCTTGATAAAAATAGAGTAAAAATGCTACTTTAGTCTTAATCAGATAACTTATGAGAAAGTGATGCTGTGGTCTTAGATCATTTTTATAATAATTTAATACTTTAATATTTTTGAAAGACTTGAAATATTTGAATACAGAAAGATTGTTCCTCCTTTTCTTTTATAAATATGCAAAGAAGTATTTGTCTTCTTTGAGAGTAGCCATTGAGTCATTGTCAAAAATAAAAATTTAACAGAATCCAAAGGCCACCTCTCCTGTTCTCACCCGTGGTCTCTGTCTCCTGTCTCTGGTGCCTTTGAGGTGTTCTTTGTGTCTGTGTGAAGAGGTACACGTGCATCCAAATATTTTCAATGCATAACACATTATTTTTGGAAAGTTGTTTACAATATATTTATTACAGACACTTCCCTTTGGTTTACCTTTGTTCTTCTATGGCTATCATATGACCCCCCCCCCCAAATTCTATGTTTACACTATTTTACACTTTTTGACAAAGAAGATTTATTGATGATATAAATGTGATGTACTTGTATGCCTTTGCAAAATGTCCTTATAAATATGTTTATAATTATGCTCTCTGACAGCCGATATGCTCTATTTTTGACGTGGGAAATATCGTCAGTTATTGCTTCTAGAGAGTACACAAGAATGAGGTGATCCTGAGAGAAACTAAATTTCATTACTTTCCAATTAAATGTGGTTCCAGCCACACTTAGCCATATAGATAATACACAGTCAAAGATAACTTACTGAAGCTTGTTCACAGAACGAAGCTTTCCCTGATATCTCTCCCCCCTCCCCGTATCCCTAGAAGTAGTATTCCAAATGTTCTTTATGATTTAAATAGCAATATTTAAAATACACTTAACACCACAATAGGGAATTTGCTGACATGACACGAACAATGCGGTTAGTCCAGATGCTGTATTCGAACTGTATGGGTCCATTGAAAAAATAGATATAACCTACAAGAAAAAGACCAAAAAATGTCAGCTAGAAAACAATAAGGGTTTACTCCAGCTGTATTAAAGGTCCATTCTGTTAGATGCCACATTTTAAAAAATATGCCAACATTTATCTTATTTATCTTTATAAACCCTACTAATGTTTTACTATATTGCTTATAGTTTAAGGGTGGGTTGGTGGCTAAAGGTTCTCAGTTCTCTTAAACTGTCCCCTCATATTAGTTGTTGTCTTGTCATGAGTTCTCATTTTGATGTCTGAAGTACTGATATTAGTTATTTGTTGTAAGTTAGGGATAATTTTCTTTTCATAACTTAAGATCATTGATGTTCATATATAAACTACTCCCCACTCTACCTCTGATTTGAATTATGGCAATACCTTGCATCTAGGCATCTTTAGGCACGGTTTAAGGTAGTGTTTAAGGTTTGACATCTTTTATTCAGAGGATTAGCAATCATTAAGTAAAATTCTCATTTATTCTAAGCATATTATTTTTTGTTTGCTGTCTGTGGAAGAAGTCACGCAGGAATAACTAATTCCTTACCTGCCATTCCTTAACTAATTCCTTTATTAGCACATCTAAGTCCTGTATAGAATCCTTTATAAGGGAACTGATTTGGAGGGGCAACAGAAGCCCACTGTCACAGCCAGTGCAGTGGAATGAGTTACCGTTTTTCTCATAGACAGCATCTACGTTGTCACCAATTCCTGGGAAGTCCTCTTCTATTAGCCTGGGGTAGTCTTTATCCATCGCATGTTTGGTATCATCATAGCTGTTAAATAATAATAATAATAATAATAATAATAACAACTCCTAAGTAGGTTGTATTTCTTAGAAATTACCTTAGAAACAATACAATAGATACAATGATATCTTTCAAAATTGACAAGTTTTAAAATTTTAAGTTCATTTAAAATATCTGGTAGATATTTATAATAAGGAATTACAAAACTGAGTGTATAGTGGATGTTTGAGGAGTAGTTTTCAACTTGCCTAAAGTTCATCTTTATAAAGACAATTACAAGCTTATTTCCATTTCACAAACTACATATCTATTGTAAAAGTAGGTTATTAGGAAAGTGTTCTTAGAGTGAAATCAATATATGTGAATGCATTGAACAATTTGTCTATTGATCTCCCACTGCATGTAAAAGAGATGGTTTGGGCAAAGTTGATCTAAACAAATGGCTAAGAAAGAGAAGAGTTGCCCGGCAGGTGTGGCTCAATGGACTGTCATCCCATGGACTGAGAAGCCGCGTCCCATTCCCGGTGATGGCACATGCCCAGGTTGCGGACTCAGTCCCCAGTAGGGGGCATGCAGGAGGCAGCTGATCAAGGTTTCTCTCTCACATGGATGTTTCTCTCTCTAAAAAAAAATAAATAAATAAGTAAAAACATATTAAAAAAATAGAAAGAAAGAAGGAATGAAAAGAGTGGCTCAGATAAGGCGAGGATTATATGTGTATTTTGAAGAGAACTTAAAACTTAAAAATCTTTGTCTGAGAGGCTGCCTGCAGGAGCTAACACCAAACAGAAATTAACGTGACTAATTTAACATTTTAAATAATATGTGAGATAATAATTTAAAGTAGTGAGACATGGTCAAGACTCACTTTGCCTGCAGGACACAAGAGAATGGGTCAGTAACTATGGCTGCCGTACCTCCAGACCTGGTTTCCCGAGAAGAAGAGAGTCTTCCCTGTGTCCTCGAAGTGAGCAGCTGCACTTATCTTTTTAACCTCTTTTGGAAATCCTAGTTCAGATAGTTTCTTGGGATAACCTTCCAGGATGTCATAACCATTAAGAGCCCAATATTTTCTGCCTAGAATAAGTGAGAGAATGGTTTTATTATCCGAAGGAATCTATTAGGATTCACATATATAGACATTTATTTTAACAAGGAAAGATTCATCTTATATATTCAAAAATAAATTAGTGAGTATTTGTGGTCAACAATGAATTATTTAAAAATAAATCAGTCAGTGTTGGTGGTCACCATGTTTACAAAACATAGAAATATGAGCATTCATCACACAAAAGTAGGGTTTAAGGTTCTGATTTCCCAATCATGCGTATAGCCAACTAAATACAATAATTAATTTGGCAATTTATTACTTCTGAATATTAAGTTTAAAGCTGGGTGAAAAATACACTAAGATTTCTGCATGAATAAGAAGCACAGTAGGAACAATAAATCAGACCAGAAAGTCAAACTTTATAGGAGATAGAAAGTTGTTATTTCTGTCTCTAAAAAAATAACTTCATTATAGCATTAATTATAATAGTCAAGCAGTAGAAACAATATCAGTAAAATAATATATAACCATTATAAATTGTGATCATGAAGATACAGTGACAATTTGGAAACTTTTTTAAGTCAAGGCAACAAGGAGAATATTAAAATGTATCTATACTATGAATACAAATATTTAAATATATGTGGTACATGTAGTGAAGGACTAGAAAAGAGAGAAAATGAAACATGGTAAGTAGACTTTTCAAGAGGGGAAATTATGGATAACATTTTTGTTTTTCAAAATGTACATTGTGATAAGTCTTGCTTAGTAAATAATTTTTTTTAAGGAAATAGAAAAAACTGACATGATTGCTATGAAACAAAATGTGGGTATCTTTTATGTATTTACCCTTCTGTACTTATCATAATAATGTAGACGTCTTTTTGTTGTTGTTAATCATCACCTAAGGATATTTTTCCATTGATTTTTTAGATAGAGTAGAAGGGAGGAAAGGAGAGAGAGAGAGAGAAATATCAATGTGAGAGAGTCACATTGATTGGTTGCCTCCCACAGAACCCTGACAGGGACCAGAGATCAAACCTGCAACCCAAGTAGGTGCCCTTCACTGGGAATCAAAACCACAACCCTTCCTTTGGTCCAAGGGCCGATGCTTTAACCGCTGAGCCAAAGTGGCCAGGGCAATAATGTAGACTTTTCACTTGTCAAGTCTGAGGATACTTGGTAGAAAGGTTTCAGTTGCTTTCTGTTTTCCATTTTGTTATACTTGGTTCTTAATTTAGATATATTACAGGAGTGACCATTTTACTAAGTCTCTGGCAGCATCAAATTGATCACTGCCTACCCTAGATGTGCGGAAGGCCTCTCCAGGGAAAGCTTACCTCTGAAGATGAAGATAAGGTCATGGGAAGGATGCTCATATGCGGCATCGATACGGTTGGGGAGTTCAGGCCAAAATGATTTGGTTAGAAACAGCTCTGCGTCAACCTGCTGAGGATGCAGGCGCCAGAAGAATCTAACACAGAAATAAAAATACACTTTTCTGTCACTTTAAAACTGCAGTATTTCTGTCCTGCTAGCCACCTGTCTCTACACCAGTGAAGATAGGTTAGACACAACCATTGTCTATCACCTGTGAAGGGTAAAGGGTTTTCATTTCCCTTTAAGTGCCAGTTAACCAAGCTGTTACTATCCTAACTCTAGCCAGAAGCATTACAATTTAAAGTCTCACAGAGCCTTTGGGAAGGCTGTAAGTCCTTTGTGGGTTGGGACCACGCTTTGCTCAATTTTGCATATCTTCTAAGGGGGAAGCAAAATATCAGGCACCATGCAGGGCTCTGGAAAGAAAACCTGAGTTACATAAACTATTGGCCAAGGACTCATGGCCTGGGGACCCAGACTGAGAAAATACCTGGAGTATAGTGTAGTGTCACTAGAGCTTAATAGAGGAGGTAGAAATGTTACTGGGTCACAGATTAGTGAACAATTAATTGATGAACAAATAAGCATATCAAAATTAAACAATATTTCACTTTTTATTCCCTACAGGTTTAGATGGTAAAGCATGCCCTCTCTCATACCCTAATGTGTGCCTGGTGCAAAGTCTTCTACAGCAAAAGGAATTTATGTGGACTTTATGAGCAACAGTTTACTAATATGGTAATTTATTTCAATATTTGTGTTTATAAATAAATAAGTTGGATGTATATATTTATTTAATTTTATTTATTTAATTATATTTATTTAAAAAAGACTACACCAAAGATATAAAAAAATCTGCACAATGTCTAGGTTATTCATTAAAAAGTAAAGTGTTTATCTACTAGTCATTTATTTCATCTGAAATATGTGAATATACTGCCCAAAGTGCTAAGATTTTCACTATCACCTTCACTGTCGGAAGTCTGACTGCACGTTTCGGCAATTTGCAGACACAGCTTCACAAATGTTTGTTATATGCAGATTTTATAAAATAACGTCAAGAATACCTGCCTCCTTTGTATTACCTGGAATCCCTTTGGGAACCAACTAATCTAGATAGACTCTTAAAAACCAAAGTTAAATTGGTAACAATATACATAGCTATGACTAGAAAAAAAGAGAATACCTGTCTTTAAAGATGATCGTTTCTCCTCGGAGACTGGTAATGGCATCAAGGGATAAGGAGGGATCACATTTGTCTGGTGTTTTGGGGTGTTTAGGGTTGGGGTCTTCATCTCCTGGACCTGCAATCATAAAACAAATTTTAAAAAGTTACTGAGGGTGACCTTATTGATGACCTAGTCTTTCTAATGTGGAGTATGAGGGGGTTCCCAAATCTTGCTGCTCGTACATAATGGTCCAAATACCATGTCATCCTATTTCCTTCCTCCAGGGTTACCAAGGTCTTGCAGGTGGAACTTCCCCCTTCTGCTTTCATCCTTCCAGACCCCTTGAGATCCATTTGAAGTGCAAATGTAGGTTTCTTGAGGATGACAATAGAAATGGGGGGAGGAGACTTTGAGGAATATTTCCCCATGCTTTGCATAACTTACTGACAAGCTGCTCTTGAGAAACACATTCTTCTTAAAGCCATTTCTGGTGGCCCACTATCCCTGTGGGAGCCCTGATCTTGGCTGTTTCTTTTGCCTATTTTCCCAGCTGTCAACATCAGCTAATGTTGCTTCACCAGTTTACTGCAATGCAGCTGCCTCTCAATGAAAAGCCAGATCTTCAGCAACACCAATACAAATGGCCACATGTTTATAAATTTTCCAGCTCGCATGAGTGCATCACACAACTGTTCTAAACTGCTTTTCTCTACCTGGTTCAGGTGAGTTCTATCATCAAGTCCCTTGGTTACAATGTTGTAGAAATAATAAGAACTGCAAAGTCCTTGCTCACATCTACATGAGCTGCTATAGTAGATTCAGATCCAGAGGGGAACAAATGGGTTGGGTGGCACGAGCAAGTTTTCTGAGCTGTGTCAGGGAGTGTTTACACTGATGATTGTGCTCTGTGGCTTTACCTCTATTTTTGGCAAGTAATTTTACTTGTTTGGTTTTAAATGTAATTACTTTGTAACTATTGTTAAAACTTTGGAAGGAAAAAATGGGAGAGATTCTTACAATGGTCAGTGTAGATGTTGGTTAAAAACTACAATGGGCCACTTGAATGATTTCTATTGTGGCAAACTGGAGTGGTTGAAAGAGTGCCCAGAATTTATAAAAGCTCGTTAAGAGCTCACTTTCACCCCCAGCTATAGGTATACTATTTAAACTCTACAGGGATTATCCCTGGATGTCATGGCTCAATTGGTTGGAGCATTGTCCCATGCACTGAAATGTTGCAGCTTCAATTCCTGGTCAGGGCACAACTGATCCATGTTTCTCTCTCTCTCCCTTCCCCTCTCTCTAAAATGAATGAACATATCCTCAGGTGAGGATTTAAAAAAAATTATAAACTCTACAGGGCTTTGTGTCTTCATTGGTTAAATGGGGAATGAAATATTTTCCTTTCTTATGTTAGAGGTATTTTGAGGGTATCCAATGTACCAGCAATGTATAAAGTGCAAATTATAAAGAGTTACATTCTACAAAAACTTTGGAAAATGAAACATTTTCTACTTGAGCAGGTAGTTTGATTTGGAAAGCATAATGGGCATGTTACAGCAAAAGTGGTAATGGTAAATTCAGTAATAATTTAGAAAATAAATGTATAAATCTATTTGGCTCTTTAGCTGATCAGTTGAGTTACCATAGAGAGACTGGATCCCTTGTACGTCGTCGTCAGGAAGCACGAAGTGGCTTTTGCCAGTGTAGGTGTAGATGGGAAACATGAGTGCTCCTGGGTCCTTGGAGTGGTCGAGACCTAAAGAGTGGCCAAACTCATGGGCAGCAACAAGGAACAAGTTGTAGCCTGTAAGCAAACAAAGAAACAATGAAAAAATAAGGTCCTCCAGTTCACGGAAGGAATGTTATTTTCCTCATCTATTTTGTATGTCATTGCCTCCCTTTCTTTGCTGTTTTACTCAAAAATTGCTTTAATCTTTATAAATATTTTAATGTTCTCATCATAGTTGCCTACGTAATTAGAATATCAACAGATTGCTCTCAAATAATTAGTGATCAATAGAATTTACTAGCAATCCTGACTAGTTCTCTGTATTAGGTTAGATGAGGAAGGAGAACAGTGATGACCTTAAATAAGTAGTCATGGGAACCACATGGGGGTTCCAATAGGGTGGAGGCAAAAGCAGGTTTATAGTTGTGAGTATGCAAAACACAGAGTTTATTCTTGTATTATTATTTATTAATTATTTATTAATTAATTACTTTTGCCCCACCCTGTATGTAGGGTGCTGTCTAGAACATCATTTAAACAGGAGGAAGCCTCTCAAAGAATAATAACCAGGTATGGAGGATGTACTAAAGAGGGTCTCAGAGTATTATGCTAAACAAAATAAGCCAGTCAGAGAAAGACGAATATTACATGATCTCACTCATTTGTGGAATATAATGAACAATATAAGCTGATGAACAAAATAGACCCAGAGACATAGAAGTAGGGTTCAGACTGACAAACCTCAGAAGAAGGGGATGGAAGGAGGGAAGAGGTAAACCACAGAACTTGTATGTGTAGCCAATGGACATAGACAAAAATGCTGGGGGTGGGGAGGAGGGCAGAATCGGGAGAAAGGTGTCAATAAGGGAGAAAGGAGAAACATCTGTAACAAAAATAAATTAATAACAATTGCAAAAAAAGAGGATCTCTAAGAATCTACTTGGGAACAAATTCCAACCAAATAATCATTTTCATAAAATCTCTAGGTCCTAGAGTTTGAAGAAACACAAATTCTGAAAATGATTGGCCAACTTCCCTCTAATTTAAAAGACTACTATGATTCTGTGTTTACATTATTTCCTCTAAGTCATTCTTTCTGCCAGTCTTTGAGCCTCATAATACTGGTACTTTAATTTTGAAGATTAAAAGAGCCCTGGCTGGTTTGCTAGGTGGTTAGAGCATCGGCCTGTGGATCAAAGAGTCACAGTTCCGATTCTGGTCAAGGGCACTATCTGGGTTGCAGTTTGTCCCCAGCCCTGGTCGGGGTCGTGGGGGAGGCAGCCAGCCGATGTCTCTATCACATTGATGTTTTTCTCTCTCTTGCTCTCCCTCCTAGTTTATCTGAAGGTAAATGAAAATATATCCTCCAGTGAGAATTTTAAAAAAAAGATTAATAAAAGGACACATGAAAACTGGAGTCCATGGTTTCAATTTGACCTTAAACACCCTTTGCTATCATAGCCTATGCATGAAGAAAGTGTGTAATTAACTCCTTAAAGTTTGCAGACCATAAGAGTAATCAAAGTTCACATAATCTGAGTGACAAATAATTTGTCATTGAAAGGATTAGTAATAGATACCATTCCTGGCGTTTAGCTGAAAAGTTAATCTGATTTATTTGTGAATATTTTCATTCATTTTAATAAAATATTTTAAATTCAGAATTTACTCAGAAATGTAAAACTGAGGTTTATTGTGACTCTATCTTAAAAATACTAAATGACATCTTTTCTTCCTAAAACCATTCTTACCTATGAAATATTCAGATCATAAATGTGTAAATTCTCATTTTTCCTTCCAAAGACACATTGGAGGCATTGGAATTGAGGCACTGTTCATTCATGGCCCAGTTTTACTCTTTGAAAAATGATCCTTTTAATTTAAATGACTAATAAAAATTAGCTATCTACGAAGTCTGCCTCTAATTGTCACAATTAAGGGTCAACATAGCTCCAAAGTTAAGTCCTAGTTGGAACAATCTGGTGGTTTTATTTTTTCCCCCTGAAATTAACATTTCCAATTATTTTGAACCTTGATGATTCAACTACTGACTGAATCTATTGAACCTTCAGTTTCATTTTTCTCTTTTAAATACAACTTTCATCTGATCTGTTTCATGCTGTTTAGAATAAAACACTATCTTGGTTTGTTAGAGTGGTATTTATAAAATCATGATATAGGTAAGTTTGAAACAGGTAATTCATATAATAGGGCACAAAAATTTGACTGGACTTGTACTATTAATATTTCTACAGGGGCAGGGGGATATTTCAACTCATATCCAACTAATCTATGATCTACATATCCAATTCTAATTGTTTTTAGATACATATTTATAATAAACTAAGTTTCTTAAAAATTTTTTTCTTTATTGATTTTAGAGAAAGAGAAAAAAAGAGAGAAAGAGACAGAAACATTAATGAGAGAGAACATCAATTGGCTGCCTCCTGCGTGCCTCCCATGGGATTTGGCCCACAACCTGGGCATATGTCCTGACCAGAAATTGATACTTTTATACTTTTTTTGAAAATATAATCAAATACAAATATAATTCATATGCTTTTATGTATAATGCATACCCTTTTTAACTTCTTATCAATGGATTCACCGTCTAATCTAATCTAATAATCATTAATTATATCTTTATAAGAATTATTACCTTTGGAACTACTTGTCCAAGTTTCATCATCATCAAAATGGGCATCCCCTCCATAATTTGGCCCAGGAGGAAAAGCATGAGCCAGCAAACCAGAGGGTCCATCAAACGGGTAGAAGTCGCCATGCTCTACAAAGCAAGAGTTAAGAATCTAATTAAACCCAGTAGTGCCTAACATGGGAGCTTGGTGAGTTTTTGTTGAAGTCTGTAAAAGTAATGAACGACTTAAAGAAGAAACTAAAAAATAGAGCCAATTAAGGAGCAGAATATACAAATATTTAGAAAATGATTCTGCATCATTACCTTTAGTTCCAAAAGAGATCATGATATCAGCAGTGCCATTGTGAAGTCTGGTAAAATTCAGAGGTGTCACATCAGACCAAACTTTGAAGGCTTTTTTGAAGGCCTTTTCAACTTCAGAATGAGTCATGTCAGGGGTATAATTCACAATTCTAGTCAACAGAAAAAGTTTCAATTAAAGTTTTAGAAGGTGAAAGCTATTTTAGAAGATATTTTCTTGGAATACAGCTCTTCAACTCAAAATGCAATGGCTTCTCTAAAAGTTCTACTAGAGGTCCGGTGTTTTAAACTTATTAATTGTGATGTCACACAAAGATTTAAAAATGAAACATTCAATCAGACATTTTGAGTATCTCCAAATATCTGACCATTTGGCATTTTAAATTTAAAGTATTCGGATGGTTAATAAAACCTATATTGCACGCTAAATGTCTAGAACTGTATTGCTATAGCCTATATAAATAAAATAGTTTTGTAAAGTTCCTAGAAAGAGTTGAACTCATTCTTTTTAGTATTGTTGTAATAAATATGCCTGATGCACTACATTTGCAAATTTTATTAATGTCTAAAAATATTTTGATATTTCCAATGAAAAATAATGCTGGTTAATGTAACAATAATTGATGTTATGAGACATTTTATCAACAGTATTAAAGTTATTCCTGGACTTACTTAACTTCCAGTTAAATATCTAAAAACATGGGACCATATATGTTCTGTCATCTGTAGGTTATGCTGAAAATTAGACATTTAATACTGTAAGAAAACAAACAAAAATGAAAGAAAGATAGCTTATAATTTACCTGTAGGTTAAATTCACTTTGGACCATTTCAGAGTTCTAGGGAAAACGTTGTATTCACCCACATCAGGAACCCCGCATCTTGGTTTTTTCATGATGTCTAAGGTGTTATCATCAAGTCGGCCAGTCACCTCTAAGCCAAAAAAAGACTGCATTTCTCGGAGCCTGTCAACCATGGAGCTCGCTGCAGTCTTCTTCAGGATGCCAGCAGGATTCAGGGGATGGTAATATGATCTGAGGTAGCCCTAGAAAAGAGACCAAAATGATCTGCTGTTAAAAGTGAAGGGCACTTATGATATATATCACATCATAGGGATTGGAAAGATACTCTACCTCTGCGAACTGGAAGTTTTCCTCAGACAAATCCTCATCGTCCTCATCACTGGGAAGGGGCAGGGACCAACAAGAAGTCCAGCTCAAGAAGAGAAAGGCAGCCAGGACACTTGAGTGCATCTTGAATGACTGTGCCTGGAGGCGGCTGCCTTGCCACAGACGAACACCTTTACTTTTATAGGCCTACAATGGTGAGTCATCATTTATGGACAAGTTTCAATTTTCTAGTTAGTTGAAGGTAAACATGCTTACATGGCGACTTTTTTTTCTCTCCCAAGAAGTGTGGTTTGTGGTAGAATTTGAGGGAAATATAAAATGAGGGCATCTCTTGTTTCAGCAGGGTCACAAAAACCATCTGGTAAAATGAACAGCCTCAGCATATTTACGGATGCTGTGGGAAGAATCAGAGAGTAGTACATTTTTCACTTCATTTGGCAAAAAATTGCTTCCCCTTTGTAGGAAAGCAGCTACTTTTACTTTCTCAGGTAAGAACATCATGATTGGGCACTTACTTCCATAAAAAAGAAACCTGACCTACTTCCTGAATGTTTATATTCTGGTGAGTTTACAACTTTATTTTCTCTAGAGCAGCCACAATGGAAATACTATGTCTGCCTGAGGGCCACGGAATTGGACCAGTCTTGGAGATGTGGAGGTATGATAGCACATCCACATAATTGAGTGCTGTGGTTGGATTTATAGGCACAGTGTGACCTCTCAATGAACATGCAGTCCTCATGAGTTCCCCACGGGTTCAGGCAGAAGTAGAAGGATATATTGGAATAAAATATATTGGGATTGAATATAATGGCTAATACATATTGAGGTATTACTACATGCTAGACTTAAAAGATATTATCTTAGTTAATCCTTACACCAGCATTATGAAGTAGGTACAGTACTATTGAAAAGCCTGTTTTCACTTTACATCTGAATAATCGGAGACATAGAGAAGTTATATGCTTGTTTAAAGTCATATGATTAACACATGGTACTATCAGCATATGAATCCAGGCCAGTAGACTCAAGACTTCATGTCCACAACCACCATCCAATATGGCATCTACGCCATCCATTCTCAGATATTTTTGTAAACCCTGAGCTGCTGAGTTCCCATACCTCTTAGAGTACCCAGGAAAATCAGGGCTCTAGATAAACACATAGCCAGTTTCAAGTTTCTCAATTTTTATTTTGAATTTTGAATACTAGAAGTACTTCTGGTAAAAACAAAACAAAACAAACAAAAACCAAACACAAACAAAAAACTCAGGAAAACAGTCCTCTAGCAGCTTCTAGTCTATTCTTCCTTTTACAATGTCACATATTTAATACCTTGAAATCAGAATGCCATTTTGGTTCCTCACAGATGTAAATGAATACAGCTTTATGGACCATTCATCTTCAGATTTATTGAATGATTGAAAATGCAAGTTAATTTCAATGACTGAGAGTCAGAGAGGAGCTGAGGTCAGGAACATATTAAAACAAAGAAAAGAAGAATGAATAGACCTTTAGGATGAGTAGAAAAGGGGTAGTCCAACATGTGGGTAAAATAATATAATCTAGAGTAGCCAGCACCTCAGAGAAAACAGAATCACCTATAAAATGTAAACAATTGCATTTGGGATTGAAAGTGGAAGTTGAGGGGCATTATTTTGCTTTTATCCAAGATAGACCCAAATATATACTTATAATAGATTATTTCCAATGAGTTCAAGATTAGATTTGAGCTTAATCAGCAATGCTAAACAATAATTTGTTTTAAGCCTTCTCTGTGTAGCACATTTAATTTTCAGATTAAAGTGAATATTATACAAAAGTTTGATTCATCTATTGAGCTTATATAAAATTCATTCATCAGAAAGCGTTAGTTTTTACCAATAAATGTTCACAATCTTTTAACTTCTCTTTAGATAACAAAAAAGAACTCCTTGCCCTGGCCAGTTTGGCTCAGCGGTTAGAGCACTGGCCTTCGGACCAGAGACTCCTGGGTTCAGTTCCCACTAAGGGCACATACCTCGGTTGCAGTTTGTCCTGGGCCCCAGTTAGGGTCCTGTGGGTGGCAACCACTCGATGTGTCTCTCTCACGTCAATGTTTCTCTCACTCTCTTCTCCCCTCTCTCCCTTCTCCCCTCTCTCCAGCTCTATCTGAAGATAAATGCAAAAATGTCCTAGGGTAAGGATAAAAAAACAAACAAAAAGAACTACTTGAGCCTGGCTGGTGTGGCTCAGTGGATTGATCGTTGTGCCATGGACTGAGAGGTCCCAGTTTGATTCCTGGTCAGTACACATACCAGGTTTCGGGCTTGATCCCCAGTGGGGGGTGTGCAATGAATGTTTCCCTCTCACATCGATGTTTCTATCTCTCTCTCCCTTCCTTTCTCTCTAAAAAAAAATCAATAAAAGCATATTAAAAAAAAAGAAGAAGTCCTCAAAGAAGTTTAAAAGAAGTGCTATTTTGTTTAATGCTGGAAAGTGGGAGAAAAGAATTAAATAGGCTAACTTAATCTGATTAAGTTAAATTACTTAAAATTTTCATATAATTATAGAGATGTTATTACTTTAAACTAGACTGTTTTTTAGAGCCCTCTTATTTATTAAACCAATGAATATTGATTGGGCACCAACTAGGTAGGATAGCATGCTGGTCATCTATGAAGATGAAATAAAGGATAAGATGAGGGCCTTTTTCTTAATCATGCAATATTATCTCTCCCACAAAGAAACATTTTTAATGAGAAATGAATAAATAAATGTCACTGTTTTTCAACTTTAAAAATAGTGCTTATTATCAAATAACTTTAGTATTTACTAGGCTCTCTTTTCATTTAGGAATATAACAGTGCAAAAGAAAAACCACAGAACATGCTGTTACACATTCTATACTTTTCTTAGTAGTGTATGAAGAAATTCCTCAGATTAAAATAGAAATTGACTCCTTAAAAAAAAAAATCAGACTGTTTGCCATTGTTTATGGAGCAGTAATTATTTTCTTTTCTTTTTTTATTAATTTATTTTTGTTACAGATGTTTCTCCTTTTTATCCCCATTGACACCCTCCTCCCTATCCCCCCCCCCCACCCCATACCCGGCTCTCTTGTCCGTGTCCATCAGTCATGCATACATGCATATAAGTTCTGTGGTTTATCTCTTCCCTCCCCACATCACCCCCTCCTCTGAGGGTTGTCAGTCCGCACCCTACTTCCACGTCTCTGGGACTACCCCATTCCTCAAACTGTTATGTTCATTATATTCCACAAATAAGTGAGATCATGTGATATTTGTCTTTCTCTGCTTGGCTTGTTAAGATGGTGATCAGGATGTGTCATCACATGGAAATGTGTTGGCACCACTGGGTCACACAAGCCCTTATCTCAGGTTGTTCATGGTTAAGATAAAGTCAGCCTCTGGTGAAATGTTTGTGGTTTCGAATGATACCTTTAACACAATGAGTCTGAGTTGGCTTTTATTGGTTCTAACAACCCTACCTACTCACTGGGAAATTTAAAAACCTGTAGAATGAGCAAACAAAACTGTGAACTAGATTAGGAATGCATGTCTACTGCTGATTCAGACATAAGCAATATGGGACTTTCTAAAACATATGTCATCATCAGTCTCTGAATTCAAAACATTCCCCAAGAGAGAACCAAAATGTGCATGAACACCTGTGATTAGAGCACAGGGAGATTCCAGATTAGGAGTACTAGGAACAATGGGCCATTTGAGTTGGGTTAAATTATAAAAATTTTATAAGTAAAAGAATCTTTGAGATAAAAATTTTGGCTTCAGTTTAGGCAGCAGTTCTCAACCTGTGGGTCACGACCCCTTTGGGGGTCGAACAACCCTTTCACAGGGGCCGCCTAAAACCATCAGAAAACACATATTTCTGATGGTTTTAGGAACCGAGACACTGCTCCTCTATCTGTCTCCAGGCGAGTCGGCCCACATGCAGATATGCCTACATGCAGATACACCCACATTCAACATGAGGAACTGTATTAAAGGGTCGCGGCATTAGGAAGGTTGAGAAACACTAGTTGAGAGTATTGTAAATGATTAGTGTTGACAATGAACGACTTTTGGTATTATCTTTATTTTTCTAAATGCAGTCGGCCCTCGTTTATCACAGTTAATCAGTTTCAGACTCTACAGCGATAAATGAATTTTCGTGAAGTAGGATTCTTTATTTATATACAGTTATCCCTCACCACTTTGCGCCTCAACTTCTGCAGCTTCACTCTATCGCGGTTTTACTATATTTGAAGACTGCGATAGAGTGAAGCCGCAAAAGTCGAAGCATGAAGTGGCAAGGGATGACTGTAGTTAAGATTATTTGCTCTCATTGAGGGTGGTCATACTTTAGAAGGGGAGGTCTGAAAGGGTGTGTTAACCTAGATGCACAGAAACAATGGACAGGGTTTGCTTAAGGCAAAGATAAACCTTTCACTAAATAAATTATATTCCTAGAAGTGGGATCACTGGGTCAAATGGCAGTTCAATTTTTAACTTTTTGAGGTAACACCATAGTGTTTTCCATAGTGGCTGCACCAGTCTGCATTCCACCAGCAGTGTACTAGAGTCTCCTTTTCTCCACACTCTTGTCAACACTTGTTGTTTGATGATTTGTTGATGGCAGCCATTCTGACAGGTGTAAAGTGATACCTCATAGTTGTTTTAATTTGCATCTCTCTGATGATTAGTGGCGTTGAACATTTTTTCATGTCTCTTGGCCATTTGTATATCCTGTTTGGAGAGGTGTCTATTTAGGTCCTCTGCCCATTTTTAAATTGGGTTCTTTGTCTTCCTTTTGTTGAGTTGTATGAGTACTCTATATATTTTGGAAATGAATCTCTTATCTGATGCATCTTTGGCAATTATGGTCTCCCATATAGTGGGTTCCCTTTCCATTTTGATTATTGCTTCTTTTGCTGTGCAGAAGCTTTTTAGTTTGATGTCGTCCCACATGTTCATTTTTTCCTTTGTTTCTGTTGCCTTAGGTGATGTATCAGTGAAAATTCCGCTGTGTATTATGTCTGAAATTTTGTTGCCTACATTTTCTTCTAGAATTTTTATGGATTCATGAGTTACATTTAAATCTTTTATCCATTTTAAGTTTATTCTTGTGTATGGTGTAAGTTGGTGGTCTAGTTTCATTTTTTTGCAAGTAGCTGTCCAATTTTCTCAACATCATTTATTGAAGAGACTGTCTGGACTCCACTGTATGTTCTTGCCACCTTTGTTAAATATTAATTGAGCATATTGTCTTGGGTCTATTTCTGGGTTCTCTGTTCTGTTCCATTGATCTATCTGTCTGTTTTTGTGCCAGTACCAGGCTGTTTTGATTACAGTGGCTTTGTAGTATAACCTGATATCTGGTAATGTGATCCCATCTACTTTGTCCTTTTTTTTTTTTTTTTCAAGATTCCTGTGGCTATTCAGCGTCTTTTTTCGTTCCTATGAACTTTTGGAGGGTTCATTCTAGTTTTGTGAAATATGTCATTGGTATTTTTATGGGGATTGCATTGAACCTATAGATTGCTTTGGGTAGTATGGACATTTTAATAATGTTAATTCTTCCAATCCATGAACAAGGTATGTGCTTCCACTTTTTTATATTTTCCTCTATTTCTTTTTTCAATGACCTGTAGTTTTCTGTGAAGAGGTCCTTTACTTCTTTGGTTAAGTTTATACCTAGGTATCTTAATTTTTTTCTGCGATGGTAAACAAGATTTGTTTTAGTTTCTCTTTCGGTGAGTTCATCATTGGTCTAGGAATATACCCTAAGAAACCTGAAACAACAATCAGAAAGAATATAAGTACCCCTATGTTCATAGCAGCACTATTTAAAATTGTTAAGATCTGGAAACAACCCAAGTGTCATCAGTAGATGAGTGGATAAAAAACCTGTAGTACATGTACACAATGGAATACTATGCAGCTGTAAGAAAGAAAGATCTCTTATCATTTGAGGTAACATGGAGGGACCTGGACAATATTATGCTAAGTGAAACAAGCCAAGCAGAGAAAGACAAGTATCACATGATTTCACTTATTTGTGGAATATAATGAACTAAAGAAACTGATTAACAAAATTGACCAAGACATAGAGGTAGGGTACAGGCTGACAAGACTCAGAGGAGAAGGTGTTGGGGGTGAAGAGATAAACCACAGAACTTATATGCATGTATGCATAACCAATGAACATAGACAACAAAGCTGGGGAAGGGGCAGGGTGGGGACAGGCAGGAGGGTGTCAATGGGGAAAAAACCAGAAACATCTGCTTTTTATTTTTTTTGTTACATTTGTTACAAAAACAAATTAATAAAAAATAATTTTTAAAAAAAGAAATTATATTCGTAGGGCATAACTACCCACCATGACCTACCCAGATGGGAGTTTATAATCTGATCACTCTGTGAAGTTACATTCCATAGAACCCCTTTTTCATCCACAATATTTACACCCTAATAAGGTGTACGAATGCCCCATCTCACTGCCTATGCACAGTCAATTGTGGCATAATCCCCAGGTCAGGTGCCAAGTGCCAGGAACTCATTTTTGGTGCTGCATCTGCAAAGCAGAAGTTCATCTGCTTCTAACATCTGAATCCCCTGCTCTTCAGGGGTGCTGTATTCATACTGGGTTGATCCACAAAAGAAATAAATAGACCCCGCAAGGAAAAAGAGGAAATAATTTTTAGTTCTTACTCAAATATGTCATCTGAAAGTCAAGACGTAATTTCCTTGGCTTATTTTCTAACAAATTTTAATTTTTATTGTGTTTTATTAAAAACAGTAATTACTGAGTGTCCACCTTTGCCAGATTTAACCAAATACTCTGAGAGAAAACAACCAAGAATAGATCACATATTCTAGCCCATTACTGCCCAAATGTCTTTGAAAAAGGAAAACTCTGGATTGTTTAGCAGTGAATAATAGAAATATAAACAAGCAAGAGAAATAGGGTCTTCATGGTTTTAACAACAAACAATTTCAATATATTTAAAGATTCCTAATATTTAAACAACAAAGCAAAAAGTCTATTTTAAAATTGCCTAGCCTCACTTTGTTACCTTAATTCACTAAAGTAGAAGTTGTTACATATTTTTAAATCAATTTTATAATTTAAAAAAGTTACAAACTTATTACATGACTGGAAAATAAGAAAAAACCTAGTAGAAAAAAATTACTGTAATATCCCAAGATTTTTTACATAACCCCAATATATCCTTAAAGTTTACTGATTTATTTATTTTAATTTTTTTTCTTTATTTTTGGAGAGAGAAGAAGGGAGAGGGAGAAAGAGAGAGAGACAGAAATATCAGTGAGAGAGAACATCGATTGTCCGCTTCATGTATGCCTCCCACTGGGGGTTTGGCCCACAACCTGGGCATGTGCCCTGACTGGGAATCAAACTGGTGACTTCTTGGTGCGTGGGTTGATGTTCAACCACTGTGCCACACCAACTTAGCTAAGTTTATTTATTTTGATGATAGTCAATCTTCAAGATTTTCAAAAACAGCATTTTCTAGAATAGAAAACCTTGCCATGTTGTTTATATGTTGCATCTACTTTATTTCCAACTTCAGAAAAGCCATATGTATTGCATTTGGGGTAACCATCTTCCACAGTTTGCCTTTCTTTATTGAATTTATCATAAAAATGAGAATAAACTCAAAACTTCAGAAAATACATCTTAATAATGATAGCATCAAAGAGGTTAATATTTAAATTTTTTCTATATGCTCTAGTTAGATAATTACAGAAAACTATAGAAAGAAATTCACTGCAACCATGAACTGGCAACAAAGATTTCTACCTCAGTTTGGCTGCTAGGATGATTTCATACCTCCAGTACTTGTCCACAGTGAAAAAGGTGGTCACCGCAGTGTTAAGATTAGGGACAGCAGCACTGATCTCAGGCCCTGGGAACCCAAGCTCACTGATTTCCTTGGGCTATCCATCCAGCACTGCATGAGGGCCTCAAACATTTTCCTGTTAATAATAGTCAAAGAAAGGTCTTGTTCTTGACAGGAAAGTTATGACCAAGCAACTATACCATGTCCAATGCAAGGAATATGATAAGGTGACATCTAAATTGCAAATAAATCATTTTAATCTATGAACTATAGAATAGATGTTTGTTTCTTTTACCTCTCCAGTGATCCAGACTTTAAGTCGATGAGAGCCAGGTAGAGATTGAGGGCACAGGCTTCAGAATCAGTTACACCAGCTGAAAGCCCAGCTCTGCCATTTATTAGCTCCCTGTCATAGAACAGTGTGCTTTCTCTCACTGATACAACAGTGAGCAAAACACATCAAAATCCTGGTCCTCATGAGCTAACACTCTAGTAGAAAGAGAGAGATAATTATAAAAATAAAAAAAATAGATAATTATAATTAGAAAAATGGAGCAGGAAAGAGGGATAGAGAGTGAGGGGGTCAGGGAGGAGTGCTACAATTTATGTGTGGTGGCAGAGGGCTCACTGAGAAAGTAACATTTGAGTAAAGACCTAAGGGAGGAGAGGCATGAGCTGTGGAGCTACCTGGTGGGAGAATGTTCTCAGCAGAGAGAAAACAGCAAGTGCCAAGGCCCTGCGGTAAGAATGCGCCTGGTATATTTGAGGTAAGCAGCAAGGAGGTGAGTGTGGGTGAAGCAGAGTGAGGAGAAAAGTTACTAATCATAACAATACAAATGGATCATCAGTACCTGTCTTATAGGTTAGATGAAGATTAAATGACATCATAATTGAAGAGCATTTGCATCAGTCCCTGGCACATAGTAAACATTTTATATTTTTTATTAATTCACAATAACTAGCCTACAAAACACCTAGCAAGGCTATGGTGCAAGGCACTCTTATAGGCACAGGAAACAGCACATGAACAATATTGACAAGGACTCTTACATATTAGAAGGAGAAGGTAGACACTGAAGAAAGGTAATTTTGTTCGTTTTTTAAATGCATTTTTATTTTTAGAGAGAAAGGAGAGGGGCAGAGAGAGAGAAACATCAATGTGAGAGACATCGATTGGTTGCCTCCCATACACACCCCAGACTGAGGATCGAACCTGAAACTTGGGTATATACCCTAAATGGGAATCGAACAGGTGACCCTTTGATTTGTGAGATGATGCTCAACCAACTGAAACACACTGGCCAGGGCAAGGTAATTTTGGATAGTTATGTATGTTATTAAGAATATAAAATAGCCCTGGCTGGTTTGGCTCAGCGGTTAGAGCATCGGCCTGCGGTCCAGAGAGACCCGGGTTCGGTTCCCGCTAAGGGCACGTACCTCGGTTGCAGTTTGTCCCCGGCCCTGGTTGGTTGTGCAGGTGGCAGCCACTCGATGTGTCCCTTCACGTCGATGTTTCTCTCTCTCTCTGTTCCTCTCTCTCCTTCCCACTCTACCTGAACAAAAAATGGAAAAAAATGTCCTCGGGTGAGGATAAAAAAAAAAAAAAAAAAGAATATAAAATAAAGTGATGCTATAGAAGTATGAGGGCAGGCTAAGAGGATGAACACTTTTAGCTGAATGTCAAGGAAGATCTCTCTAAGGAGATATAGTTAAAAGTTAGACCAGAATGATAAGAGCAGTTCAGCCATGTAAACATCTGGAAGCAGAGTATTTGTCTAGGCAGAAGAATACGAAGCACAAAGGCACTGGGGTAGAAACAAGCTTCTGTTCAAGGAACAGAAAGAAACGTGTGCTGGAACACAGTCAACAGACAATGGTGGGAAAATCTGAGCTGGAAAATTTGCAAGATGACAACTTGGGTTTTTTTTTTCTCAGGCTATTTCACTGGATACCTCCAAAAGTAGATATTAGGCCCAAAATTTGGCTTACATGTCCTTAAAGAAAAAAAAGTTTCCCCTTGTAATAATATAATGGCATCAAAGTGTGAAGTTTTGCCCTGGCCTGTTTTGCTTAGTGGTAAGAGCATCGGCCAGAGGACCAGAGAGTCACAGGTTTGATTCTGGTCAAAGGCACATACCTGGGTTGTAGTTCAGTCCCCAGCCCTGGTCTGGGTTGTGCTAAGGCAGCCAATTGATGTGTCTCTCTTACATCGATGTTTCTCTCTCTCCCCCTTCCACTCTATCTGAAGATAAATGGAAAAATATCCTTGGGTGAGGATTAAAAAAAAAAAGTGTGAAGTCTTAATTACATATCTATGAAGTTGGGCCATTAAATGATCCCTTTTGTGGATCTGAAAGTAAGAAGATAATGACCCAACTTGGTCCCCTGATTTGCTTTAAATAGTCTCTGAATTCTTTTCAAAAACAGAATAACTATTAATATGCTAGTTTGTTGTCTAGATAAAATTGTGGTAGAAAAGAGTCTTCAGATCATATACTCCAGTTGAGCGCCTCCTGGAGCTGTAGCTCTCCCCTGCCTTCCCCAGATCACCCAGGCTTCTGGCTTGGTCCTGACACCTGTTCCCTGTGTTCCTCTAGCCCCAAGGACTGGTAGAGGCTTTTGGTGTTGCTATTTTTTAGACTGTTTCACTCTTTCCTGTTTAGCTTCTTAGCTCTTCCATCACCTGCTGAACTTAATTAACATCTGAGTGGTTTCTAGTTCTGGGTTGTATCCTGACCAATACAATTGACAATATGGAAATTAAAATGGGAAAACAGTAATACATTTTCCACTCCCAACCATCACTGACTTACTGAATCCTCTTATATAATTTAATGCCCATCTGTATGTATATGTTACAAATAAGCAAATAAATTATATATAAATATGATGTCTTATTCTTCATTAATTAGATTATGCATTCATTAGATTATATATGTCAACTAATAAATCTCCCACTGCTAAGAGAAAATTTTCACACAAAATTTGGAATGAATTTTATATAAATTATATGAATTTTAATGGGATAGTTTTATAAAATGGCATTCTGTAGTCAGCACCAGCCATATACTTGCTAAAGTGTAATGCACAATTATAAACCTTTCTTCTGAGATGGGAAAAAGATTTGGAGAATCTTAAACTAGAAGTACACAGATAATTTAGTTATTATAACATATTCACCTTGAGATAAGGTTAAAAGTTTGGATGAGAAATAAATGGAAGCCAACTTGGTCATCCTGATTCCTTCAGATCTGGACTTCCACAAACTGTGGGGAGAAAAACAAAACACTCCTAATTATTACATGTCTGAAGACTGCATTTTCCAAAAGCGATGCCTTGAAAACCTTTCCGTGGATGTCAGAGATGTTCCACCAATATTAATAGTAGACGGAAGAAAGGGAAGGAGGGAAGGGGAAATGATTATGGTCAAATAAGTTTAGGAAATATTGAGTTAAAGAACTGTGAAACAGTTTCATTCCTGGGGAATTTAAAGCTTTATGACTTGAAAATCTAAAAGAGGGTTTGAACTTGGAGTGATTCCCTCAGTTATTTGAGCCTAGAACATTCTTTTTGGGTTGCTCCTTGAAGCACTGGAGTTCAACAGTGCACTGATTGGAAAAGCTGTTCAGGGGATTTAGCAAGGCAGATGAAAAGTTCTGTAGTGAGAAGAAAACCAAACCTCAGCAGACCACAGAAGGCCTAGATGCCTGGATCTTTCTCTTGCTTGGGTGGGTCCATATCATCAGTTGGGAAACATCAGGGCCCCGGGGTCACTGGAGCAAAGGCCAAATTCGTGTGCAGCCAGAGCAAACAGGTTAGTCTATAAAGAAACACAGTGTTGATGATCTAGGTAAATGCCACACAAAATTAGTTCTTTTAAAGATTTTTTACATGGATTGTTTAAGCCTTATTAATTACACCCCTCCCCTGTTATACATATTTAGGGAAGAAAGACAAAAACCAAAACCTGTAAGGATCTTGGCAAGTGACCCTGATATAACACAGTGCCCAAGGGGTGTAGGTTGAAGCCACTGAAATTACATAATTGATTTCGTTGTGCCCTTTGACCCTCAGTTGTAAAACATCAATGAATTATGGAAAATTCAGAGAAAAATTATGGTCACTTTACTTTTACCAAAAAGTAGACTATATGGCCACCACACAACTGTATAGTTATATCAAAAACCTAGTTAGTTTGGGATATGTAACAGAAGTGGTGGATACTGTACTGGTGGTGGCTTTGGGCCCTGAGCCAGACAGACCAAAGCCTGGGAAGTGGAAATAATAAACATCAGTCTTATAGGATTTGTGAGACAATTTCATTGTGAAGCACATGACACATTCTAAGAGTTCAATAACTGTAACAGAAATTGGCTTTTGTTGTTTATATTATTAATATCCAAAGCACCCAGCAAATAGTGCTTAATGTACAGTAGCTACAAAAGATTAAAATCTGAATTAATGATAACAGAGTTTAACCAAAGTTTATTTTGGCACCATGGAAACAATTTCTGAGTTGCAAGCAATCATGGACACATAAGGGAAATTCAAGCTTGAGGCTTTAGGTTGTTTTAAAATATGTAGCAACATTTACATAAAAATGATGTGTGTCAAGAACAGCAATTCTTGTTGGTTCAGGCCAGCCTCCTGGCAGAAAGTGCTTGGCAGACAGAAGTATTGGTATGTAGTTTGTATAAACACACCCCCTCCTGATGCCACATTTGCCCAAGTTAGGGAAGTTTTTACAGCACGCCTTTCTAATGCTTATTAAGTATCCTATGAGGGATATATTTTATATGCCAAATTGGGCTCATCATGACACATTCTTTTTCTAATAAAAACGTAGAGAGAAATTAGACAGATATTTAATGCCTATGTTGGCTACCTCTTAACATGATATTTAGTTTACATGTTAGTGAAGAGTATGAATATAATATAAAGCAGCAAAACATGAAATAGAAATTATTGTTTTATATCTTAATATATGACACTATGTTTTATTTGTGAATCACTATAAATTATTCCACCACCCTGAAATTTAAATGATCAACAATTGGTAAACTTTGTTATACTTTCTTTGACCACAGAGGGGAAAAAATGGAGTCAAGTCAAACTTTACAGTGTTACCACACAGTCTGTGTGATGTCACCTCAACCTTCCAAGACTTCAGAAAGCATTTTGGTTGATTCTGTTTTACTGCCTTAATTGCCTTTTGGGGATATGAGATGCTTTGAGCACTTATATATATGAAATGGATTCCACAATTGTCTCCCAAATGGGGGATTTCTGTTATTTTGGCCTCTCTTCAAGGTCAATGAGTACACAAATTCAGGAATTAGGATTACACCAAATCCTAACTGAAGAACACTCATCTTTTCTGTTGAAATTATTTGTCCAGAATTTACATCATTGAAGTGAACATCACCACTCTGACCCTCACTAGGAGGAAAGGCATGAGCCAGCTGTCCAAAGGACCCATCAAATGGGGGAGAAATCTCCATATTCTCAAAGGGAAAAAAACTCAGCCCTGGCCAATATGGCTCAGTTGGTTAAAATGTCGTCCTATACACCACAGGGTCATGGATTTCATTCTGGTCAGGGCACATAACCCAAGTTTCAGGCTCAATCTGTGGTGGGGGCGTGTATGGGAGGCAACCAATCAATGTTTCTCTCTAAGGTCGATCTTTCTTTCTCTTTCCCTCTCCTTTCTTCTCTTTCCAGAATCAATGAAAAACATAGCCTTAGGTGAGAATTTTTTTAAAAGTCATATTTTCAAAGGGAAAAGTTTCAGATAATAACTGGAAAAATAGTATAGACAAGAACAAAACCTTTGTTATTTTGTATAGTGTACTGAAAAATGGGAAGGCTTTGATAAAGACAATAATTTTGCTTTTTTCGCTTATTGTCTTAGGTGCTTCGAGAGTCACAGGATTTGGTGCAGATATGGTCAAGTCCAAGAACCAAACCATGCACAACTAGTCCTGAAAATGGAACAGATATTACATCAAGAAACCCCGATCACAAAGATAGACCCCCAAGTTCCTGAAGACCATGAACTTTGCCAAGAAGCCTAAGAAGGGCCTAAAGAAAAGCCATTTGTAAAGTTCAAGGAAGTCAAGCCCAAGAGCCCAAAGGGTGGCGGCCACAAGCTCAATCGACTTGCCTACATCAATCACCCCAAGATTAGGAACTGTGCTCATGCGGACATTGCCAAGGGTCTCGGGCTCTAATGGCCAAAGTCCGAGGCCAAGGCTGAAATCAAGGCCCAGGCTGCAGCTGCAGCTCTGGCTCAGCTTGAGTTCCCAAAGTGCCCAGTCCCCGATGAAGGCTCCCATGTAGAAGCCTCTGTCTGCCAATGTGAGGACGGAAGGACTGGTGTGACCCCTGGGCTGCTGCCAGCATGGGGCTGGTGTCCTCCTGTGCTATTTGTACAAATAAACCTGAGGCAGGAAAAAACAACAACAATCCTTCCATCGTTATTACCTTGGCTTTCAAAGAAGATCATGATGTCAGCAGTGTCCCAGAAAACTCTAGTAAAATTGAGTTGGTTCTCATTGCTCCAAACCTTGAATGCTGCTTCGACAGCAGGGTCCACAGTTTCAGGGAAAAGATCTGAAAGTGTAATTCCCTATTCTGAATAACACTCATACACACAGAGGCACTTCAGTAAGACCCAATGTGAAATTTTAAAGATTATTGTATTTTTTAAATCTATTGTTTTGATGATTCATTTTATTTCCTTATAGAATCAGAAATCTAAGGTACATCATGGTGTATTAAATTTTCTTCAGCAACAGCCTTACTTTTTATGTGTTTACAAGCATTCTTGGTTAAAACAAATATAAACTGTACTATAATTACTTAAGATTTCAAAACTACACCCTGGGCGGTTTGGCTCAGCAGTTAGAGTGTCAGTCTGAGGACCAGAGAGTCCTGGGTTGGGTTCCCGCTAAGGGCACGTACCTCGGTTGCAGTTTGTCCCCGGCCCCGGTTGGGGTTGTGAGGGTGGCAGCCATTTGGTGTGTCTGTCTCACATTGATGTTTCTCACTGTCTTTCTCCCTCTCTCCCTCCTGCTCTATCTGAAGATAGAGTAAAAATGTCTTTGGGTAAAGATAAAAAAAAGATTTCAAAACTACTATAAGACATTAATACTTTTGAATAAGGGTGCAAAATTCCATTTGATATAAATAAGTTCAACGTTGTCTTAATTTTATTGAAGTGCTAGGCAAGAGATAATTGAGTATAACTAATAAGTTAACATTCAGCCTATGCTACATAAGTGATATATAAAAGATTAAATTGGTGGTCCAGAGTTCAGAGGCAGCACATTAAAGAAATATTATTATATAAAAAAGTGTTAAAGAATCATTAAATTCATAAATAATTGGAAAGAATTAGCTATACATTCTAACTTAATTTGCCTTTCAAGTAAAACTAGACATTAGCCCAGAAAGACATTAAAGTATGTCCTTTCTCCAACATTTTGCTAAATGAGGTCTATATATGCTATGTAAAATATATACCTATATCAACAGCTTTTAAATCAATAAGATTTTTACTTTAAAAGTTATTCATTAGTAGAGAAATATCTTTCTGATGTGCTTGAGATTGAGTACAAAAATATTTCTTGCTCATCTGTAGATTCCCAGAGATTTTTACGTGTTAAGCACTCAGTTAAAATGTGTTCAATGGATGAACAAATGAATAAATAAATGGATTCATATAAAGGCCAGACTCAAGGTATTATCTACAATTTTCTTGCTGGGATTAGCTCATGTCTTAATCCTATGCTTTGCTTGAGTTGAAATTTAGAATCTCACTTGAGAAAGAATCGGCTTCACCTAATAATATAAGTTCAATATTTGTTGTTTTTGAACTTTTGAAATTTTCAGGAAAGTGATCTGTTGTACCACGGTACTGTTGTTAAAAGGCAACTGATGTTAACTGTTCCTTAAAATTCAATTCTCATTAAAACTTATTACAAGGAAAAAAATTAAAACCATTAGTTTTCTATCATATTTTTAACAAAAAATTATTTTTTCTAAGATATTTTAAGTTACCTTGAGAAGATTTATTAGCTTAATATTCAAGTGACAGGGATAAGGCATGGTTTAGAATACATAAGAATGTTATTTGGGTACAACATAGATTTATAGACTTCAAAAAGACCTCCAGAGATCATCTAGCCTGTACCTATATATTACATTGGAAAACAGGTTCAAAGATATTAAGAAACTTCCTCTAAATCACTCCAATAGAGAATATTGATCCTAGGATTAGAATCTCAGCCTTCTGAATAGGATAGTCCAGGATACTATATTTTACCCCCAAACTACTTCTTAACATATAAAAATATATGATCTGTCAAAGCTGATCCTGTCAGCTAAAGTACCATTACACACTGTACAAAGGAAAACTTATGAACCACCTGTAGGTCAAGTTATCAGTTAGCCACTTCATTTTCTTATGGAAATATATATTCCACTATACCAGTGACCCTAAACCTTAGCAGCTTCATAAAATTTAAAGTTTCAGAATCCAGTTGACTGCGTATAGATCAGAGAAGGCTGCATATGCTAGAGTCTATTTCCCAGGAGCTCATATTTCTCTTCTGCCCATGTATTGATCTCAAGGAAAGATGATAAAAGGCTTTCAAATAGCACATGACTGTGCCCATTATTTGGAGAAACTATATACTAAACTAGAAGAATGGCAAGAGGAGAGGACTGTTACCTCTGCAGGAAGCAATTCGGCCTTGGTCAGGCAATCCTATTGTCCGGCAGTAGATGAGGGGACTGGAAGAGAACAGGAGACAGCGAGAGCTCAGAACAGGAAGGTGATCAGCACAAACACATTGCCTTTGCTGCTCAGGACCTTCATCTGGGAGTGAGGATTTGGAGGGAGATACTTTGAACCTCATTTAACTGGTTTTATAGAGTTAAGTGTTGGCATGTGATTCATTTCTTATCCCTATTTTGTTTGTACTACTTTCTGTTCAAGGAAAAAGCAAGAATAGCACATTTTTTTTGTCCAAAGTAAAAGTTTATGGATAAAAACAAAGGCTTCACCCCTTTTTAATGACCTTAAATATTGAGTGTGTGTTTTGCTTTAGGGGGGAATTTTATCTCTAAAATGGCTAAGAGACAGGGAACTTGTAATTTGCCCTCTGGCATAGGAAGGAATGAGAAGAGGACAGAAGAAAGGAGGGAGACAATGGGAGGGAGGGAGGGAGGGAGGGAGGGAGGGAGGGAGGGAGGGAGGGAGGGAGGGAGGGAGAGGGTGGGAAGGGAAGAAGGAAGGAAGGAGGTGGAAAGGGAGGAGGGAAGAGAAAGAAAGAAAGGAGCAAGTGAATAGAAAATGAGGGAAGGAGAAAAGGTAGGAAGAAAAGAAGGTGGGTTACAAAGGAAATGACATTTTTCTGAAGTAAGGAAGGGCCAAGCACTCTCCTTTTGTATTCAGGCTGATTTTTTAGAGCATGGCCCAGAATCAGAGCGAGTCTGTCCCCGAGGTCTAGATGAAGATACGAACAGTACTAGACAGAACTGCAGGCTGGGAAAAATATTCACGACAAGACCCCACAAGAACTACTAATTTGTTTCAATTTGAGACTCATCACCTTGCTGCCAGGACCATTTTAACCACAAGTCCAACCCTAAATGAGATAATATAATCCAGATGTAGGAAATGGAGCCATTTGCTGAGGATATGTGTCAATTTTTTCCAAAACCCAACTTTCTTTCCAAAATTTCCAAGACATTGACAAATGCCAATGATTAAGCAGATTTTACCTCTTCTTGTATAAACATGACCAAGATGAAATTGACCAAGCAAGAGGTTAAAGATAGAATTTTATCTATTTTTCTTTCAATGGTAAGTGTTTTACACATTTTGAAAGTCCTCACAATTTCTGGCTGACTTCAGAGTGCTTTCAGCTTGAAGAGGCAAGTACATTTCATAGTAAAATCAAGACATTCATCTTAATATTTCATTTGCTCCCAGGGCATTTTGTCATATCCAGATTAAAGAAATGATTTGAACCAGTTTGCTGTGTGACTATTCATTATCTTACTGAAGAATCTAGTCAGTTGTTGGGGATGGAGGCAGGACACAATTCCAACAATTAAGATGATTCATTCCCCTTACCCCCACCCCAAACTTAGGCATTAAATCAGGAACCAGTGGTGGTCAAAGATGACCTGCTGATTGAATCTAGGTAAACTCAAACATTCTCAACCTATTTTCTGCTGTGCCAAGTGACCAGCAACATTCATATACAGTGAACACTTCCTTGAACTGCACAGGGCATCACCTATAATTACATGTCTTTCTTTCCAATTCAATGAAAGAAAATACGAGCCCTGGCCAGGTAGCTCAGTTGGTTGGAGCATCATCTATACACCAGAAAGTTTGCTGGTTCTATTCCCATTCAGGACACATATCTAGGTTATGGGTTGGATCCCCGGTTGGGGCTTGTACAGAGGCAACAGATCCATGTTTCTCTCTCACATTGATGTTTGTTTTATTTCTCTCTCTCTCTCTCTCCCCCCTTCCTTTCTCTATAAAATCAATAAGAAACATATCCTCAGGCGAAGATTTAAAAAAATGCTAGAAAGCAGTAAGTGTGACCATTTAATAAAAAATAACCCAGGAAATGATATAACAAATTAAAATATGTAAATTATTTGAAAATATCAGTACTTTATTATTATTCCTCCTGACTCATACAATTCAATAATTTGTCTCCCAGTTCATGATAGCAAAGTGGAGAATTTCTCCCAAATGTAAAATATGAAGATATGAATACTGAAATTAATATAGGAAATTATGTGTTGGAAACCTTCATTTATAAATGGAAAACTAAAAAATATATAAATAATTTGTTTTTATTTTAACAATACCTTATTTTAACAATTTATTGTGAAATTTTATTTTACAAAGAATACATACTTGACAAGTGTTAATACATTTTATGTTCTATAATATGTTTATAAATTTTTAAACTTAAAATGCATTAATTACTTAATTTCAATGATTTTTTAGATACTATAAATTCTGAACATGTTTTAAAAATAAAATATGAGTATGAAACACTGAATTTTATTAAACAAGTACTGAACCACCAGTATTAACATTTTGTTCATTTCAGAAATTCATTGAAACCTCTCAGGTGCTAATGAACCCTCCCATTCTCTTGGTTTTTTGTTGGGTTTTATCATTTTTATTTTCTTTATATAATTCTAACAGAGTAAGAATTGACATATAAGCAAATTTGTCTGAAGCAACATCTAGTATGTTCAGCCTGGGGTCTCTGGTCTGTGAGGGAGAAGAGTAACAGACCAGGTCTGAAGGAATCATCCTTAAGATCACCCAGGGCCCTCTGCTCTATCTCCAAATAGACTAGGAAAACTCTGTTCCTGGTTATATTTCTAATGTAGGTGTCTTTCAGTGGAAAAGAATACATAGATTGTTGAATATTATTCTCTAATAATCCTATTTTTACCTCCCAGTTGTGTTCCTCAACCCAGATTAACTCTGGAGTCCTGATGTATCAGTTTCTTGTGAGTACCTCTGGTCTGCATTGAATTGTTAGGTTCTAAATATGATTTTTAGGGCAAAGGATATTATAGTCATAGAGATACAAAACAAATGATGGTGACCTAGTTGAGCTATATGTAACTACCCTTCCATCCCCGACTAGCCTAACCCATATTACCTGTTATAAAGCATACTTATCTGCTCTTTGCTATGCCATAGAAATGCAATTGCCTTTTTAGAATACACATGTTTGAGTTTCAGGAAATCAAATACAACAAAAATATGACATAGAAAACTCCCTAATCAGGATAGAAGTAATCAGGGAGAGATTTATAGATTTCTTTTTTAGTTGTCTGAAGAGAGTTCTCTGTGAACCTAACCTCCTCATAATTCATAATTGTTTTTCTGTGGGCTAAATATTATTTATAATTTTTTTGTTTTATTTTTTGTTAATCATCACTCGAGGATATTTTCTGTTGATTTTTAGATAGAGTGTAAGGGAAGGAGGGAGAAACAGAAACATTGATGTGAGAGAGACAATTGATTGGCTGCCTCCCAAACGCATCCCTACTGGGGCTGGGGATTGAACCTGCAACCCAAGTATATGCTCTTGACTGGGAATTGAACCCTTTACCTTTCAGTCTGCGGGCTGACACTTTAACTGCTGAGCCAAACTAGCCAGAGCTATTTATAATTCTTTTTTAATTCTGGAATTTATAAAATCAGTGCTTAGATATTACTTAATTGATGGCTAGATTAAACAGATAACTCACCTAAACCCAAATTCAGTTTAAACTGTAAGTATCCATATTCAATTAGAATGTTAGCAACCTAATTATTATTATTATTATATTGACATTAACACATAAGTTTAAAGAAGCTGTTTTTAATCTCCTATAAATGGATAAGATTTTAAGGTACAAAGTGTCACTAAATAATGTGAGTCATGTTGTCTGGCTTCAACTCTAGACATTTGTGGCTTACATTGAATGAACATATAAATGATATGATAAGTTTATGAACTATGCCCTTGGGACAGGAAGAGGGGTGCTGAATACCTTTATGAAACACTTTGAAATTGATTTTTTATATATGATTCACCATCGGATTTTCCACAACCACAAAAGAGAAAGAGGAAACTATACATAACAAACAAATGACTTTCATTTCTTTAAAAGTCACGTCATTTATGGAAGAAAAATCTTAGTTCAGAAATGCAAAATATGTTCAAAGTAAAGTGAACAATTGTACAAACTCACATTTCAGACTATGAGCAATGGCAGTGCTTGAAACATAGAGCCCCTCAACATAGCACCTGAAAATGTCAGTCACAAGTGGACAATGGAAACAGGCACTGGGTTTGATCTCAATGGTGTGACTTAAAAGCTGTGTGAATTTGGCAAAATTACTTAACCTTTCTGAATTTCATTTTCCTCACCTGTAAGCTATCAATATGAAGAACAGAGATAATATAATTAAAGCAGCAGCGCCTTATCCTACATATAGTAGGTTCTCCACACTTATCATTAATGTCAGTTGCTGTTGTTGTTACTGAATATTAGTCAATATTTGTTGAGCATAAGTTATGCATGAATCATAGTACTTAAAGTTATATGCAAGAAATAGAAGATGTGCCCTGGCCGGATTGGCTCAGCGGTTAGAGTGTCGGCCTGCAGTCCAGAGAGACCTGGGTTCTGTTCCCGCTAAGGGCACATACCTCGGTTGCAGTTTGTCCCCGGCCCTGGTTGGTCGTGTGGGTGGCAGCCACTCGATGTGTCCCTTTCACATCGATGTTTCTCTCTCTCTCTCTCTATTCCTCTCTCTCCCTCCCACTCTACCTGAACAACAACAACAACAACAGCAACAAAAAATGGAGCCCTGGCCGGTTTGGCTCAGCGGTTAGAGCGTCGGCCTGCGGTCCTGAGAGACCCGGGTTCGGTTCCCGCTAAGGGCATGTACCTCGGTTGCAGTTTGTCCCCGGCCCTGGTAGGTCGTGCAGGTGGCAGCCACTCGATGTGTTCCTTTCACATCGATGTTTCTCTCTCTCTCTCTCCCTCCCACTCTACCTGAACAAAAAATGGAAAAATGTCCTCAGGTGAGGATAAAAAAAAAAAAAAAAATGTCCTCAGGTAAGGATAAAGAAAAAAAAAAGAAATAGAAGATGTAACCTTTTAAACACAAAACAGGGGGAAACAAGTTGACAGTGCCCTTTACAAAGCAGTATTTCTCATACACACTCTAATGCAGGACAACAGA